GTCCTTCGCCTCTCCAGGGGCCTTCAGGGATGCTCCTGGGCTCCCCTTCTGCAGGGGGGGTGGGGGGGGGGGAGGCTGGGGGCAGCAGCGGTGGAAAGGCGTTGGACGCGAGCGACCGGCCGGGCGCTTGCTGGAGTGCAGCCTCGCTTCTTTGACCCACCTCAGCCCGGGGGCTCTCTTCCTGCTCCGTGGTGCGTGCGCCCCCCGGGCGCTGCTGCCTGTGGGTGACGGAAAGAATCTCCAGCCGCCCACCCGCGCAGCAGTCCGGCGCCAGAGGGGAAGGGACTTCAGGCCCACGCGGCCTGGCCGCGCAGGAAGGCAGGCAGAGGGCGCGGGCACTGCCGAACGCGCGGGCCCCACGACCCCCAAACCTGCGCCGCGCGCCGTCCGCACCCCGCGTCCTACAGGGAGGCGGGCCCGTCCCCCAGTGCGCGCAGGCGCGTGCCGGGCTGGGCTCCGACCGGAGTTCGGCGCTGGGCGGCCACTGGCTGGCCTCGCAGGTAGGGGGATCGCAGGCCAGTGGGCTCGGACCCGGGGTGCGGGACTGCCGCGCAACCCGGCCCCGCCCCGCACAGCGACCGCCCGGGTCTGCGGCCCGCTGCGCGGCTCCTGCCCGGCTGTGCGGCTCCTGCCCCGCTGCGCGGCTCTGCGGGCTGAGGAGGCTCGGGGGGCGGGCGCAGAAGGGGTCTGGGCGGACAGCGGCGGGCCCTGCGGTGCGGGGCTGGGTGTCCGCCGGGCCCGCTGCGGGCCGCGACCTGTGGGTCGGGAGAGAGGAGGCTTCGTTTCTATGAAATACAACCAATTAAGACTTTTTCATTAATGGAAGGCAGTAGTAGAGGGCGGGGCTTGGATTTTCTTAGGAAATGGGTCATTTGGCAAACTTTTTCTTCCCTTCCGTTCATTTCCTATTTTTATAACTGAAAAATGGGTAATTATTGTTTTCTGCCATAGAGGGAAAGAATAAAAAGAATTCCGCCATTTTGGCGTTTTAAAAAGTAATCGTTCTGCGAGGCTCACGGATCAGTGACCGCCGTCTCTACTAATCCCGGGAGGACTCGGATGGAAGGCGGACGACGGCTCCCTCCCCTGGAATCCGCTCCCATCCCCTCCCCCCTCCCCCCCCCATAACACTCCCCCGCCCCCCGCGTCCGGCCGTGTGTGTGTGTGTGTGTGTGTGTGTGTGTAGATATCTGTCTAGGGCTCTAGCTCCCAACCCCCAACGCCTAGACCGAGGGCATTTATTGAGCGTGTTGTATACGAGGAGGCCTTGCAAGGCAAAATGTGGGGGAAACTTGGCCGACAGAGAGACCAAGAAAAAAGACACACAGCACATTTACTCAGTAAGTATTTCTTGAGCATCTGCTATGTGCCAGACACAGCTGTGCGCTGGGGATCCAACGATTGTTTTAGGTCAGGTTCCCTGGAAACAGACTCTGAGCGGGAGGCTTGAGTGTAGGTTTATTGGGGTGCCCTTGGAAATATCACCCTTACAGGAGGGTGATTGGGCAAAGAAGCTGAACTGCCTTTGTAGTCTCAACAGAGGCCTCAGCCTGTCCCAAGGGAAGCTCTGGGGCTGAGATGGCCTTGCAAAGGTGTCCCTAATTGAGTCAAGGGGGCCGGGCCTTTATAACTGGTATCAACTGGTCAGCTGGATAGCCGCTTCCAGGAGAGGGCGCTTGGCGGGGCAGCTCCCCTGGCTGAGGGCAATTCCCAGAGAAGCTGACAGCTGAAGGCTATCAGTGACAGCTTTCACAGTAGCTGGGACCTCCCACTTTCTCCCCTCCTCCCCCGGCCTCTGGGCAGCACAGAAGGAGAAAATAGTATTCCAGTCCCTAAGGCAAGAATGGCTGAGCCATTTATGTATTTCAGTTCCATTTGTTTCTTATATTATTGACCAGCCTTTACTCCCACCGCTGTGACTCATTCACTCGGTGACTGTTTGTGGAGTGCAATCTCTGGATCAAGTTCTCTGCACCCCAGGTCCTTCGTTCTGGGTCTGGGGGAGACGGAGAAGTTAATGCATAGATTGTGGTGGAGTGGGACACAGGAGAGAGGGTGATTAACTGTGTTTTGGGGGTGGACTCTGGGAGTCACTCGAGCTGCATCTTGAAGGATGATTAGGAATTTTCCAGAAAGATGGGAAAGGCACCAAGCAGAAGGAACAGCAGGTGCAGAAGCCGCAGAAGTGAGGTTCTGAACGTGTGACCCAACGGCAGGGGTAGGAAGTGGACGGATTCCTTGCACCTGGCTCAGGCCTGGGAGCCGCATCAGACCAGTTGTGCTGCTGTGTGGATCTAGCAGGGCGTTGCTTATGAACATGTTGTGTGAGCTTCAAATATAGAGGTGGTAGCGGAAAGGAGGGGTGAATTCAAGTAATAGAGAAGGCAGTTCCAGGCTTCAGAAAAGCTAATGGTCTAGTTAGGGAGAAAGACCATAGAAATAGTAGGTGCTGCTAGCCAAGAGCCCACAACCACATGCAATGGGTCCCAACACACAGGTGCACAGGGTGACCCTCTCCTTCCTGCACATGCAAGGGCTTGTCTTCTAGAATTATTCTTTTTCTCCTACACTGTTCATTTCTTCTTCTGTAGGTTCATTTTCATCAGCTACAAACCTGCTGTAACATTTCCTATTTTTAAAAGCAAAACAAACAAACAAAAAACTCTTCCTTGAGACCACATCACTCTCCAAATACCATTTCCATGCTCTCCTTCACATTCCAACCCCTTGAAAGAGATATTAGACCCATTGTCTCTATTTTCCTACAGGACCAATCCTTATTGTCAGTTTCCCCACTAGACTGTAGACTCTGTGGCAGAGGTGTCTATTTTGTTCACTGATAAATCTGCATTGCCTAGAAGAGTGTCTGGCACATAGTAGGTGCTCAATAAATATTGAACTATCAACGATTTCTTGTTTTGTTTTGTTGTATTTTTTTTTCATAAAAAAATTTCTCTTTAAAACCCACTCCATCCAGGTTTTCGTGTCCATAGCTCTTTGAAGTGGCTCTTGCAGTTTCTGATGACCTCCTTATTGCTAAAATGGCCAGCTCTTAGCCTGCATCTGACTGATCTGGCAGTGGCATCCAACACCACTGAGCAGTCCCACCTTCCTGAAAAATTGCCTCCCGTGTCCTCCAGAAGCCCAGACTCTTCTGCATCCCTTCTCACCACATTGCAGATCCCTTCTAAGTCTCTTTTGCTAGATCATCCACTTCCCATCCTATAAATCTTGGCTTGCTCCAAGGCTCCCACCTTTTTCTTTATTCTCAGTCCTAAGGTTTTCAAGGCCATTTCTTCATGATGATTTTCAAATGTTATCCCCAGCCTCAACTTTATCCCTTATTTCTAGAATATACGCTTCATGAGAGCACTCAGTCTTATTGGAGATTGTATTCCCAGAGCACAGAATGGTGCTGACACCTAGCTGGCCCTGCAGTGTGTGCTGGAGAAAAGGCAGCAAACCTGAGCAGAAGGGCAGCCCTCTCAGTCCCTCCCCTGGATAGACCTGAAACATGTGATAGGTTGGAAACAGAATGGGATTCTTTCAAGAGTAACCACAGTCACTTTGAATGACTGACAATGTTTTGCATAAACAGGTTGACTCTATTGAAAAGAACTTAAATGGTACAGATAGTATGTCAGCTGTGCGAAGCAAAATAATAGGAACTGAAATGCAGGGAATTGTATTTTATAAGTGTAAAAGGGGAAACAGACCTTGGTTTGAATGTTGCCTTAATTAATCAGGTTATGTATCTTGCCTTTGCCTACCTGAGCATACACTCTATAATATGGAGGATGGGCTCTATTTTAGGAAGGAAATGCTGGAAAATAAACAAATTCAAAAGAACATCAGGAGGGAGGGTGGGAGAGACAGCAACCATTGTAAGCTGATTTTGCAAGCAAGCAGCTTACATGTTATTAGCCAGAAGCTACCAAGTTCCTTGGCATTTCTGTTAAAAAGGAGTGAATTGGTATTTTTTTTTTTTTTTGGTGCGGCGGGCATAAATATATATATATACTATATATATTTCTTTATGATTTCAGAGAGGAAGGGAGGGGGAGAAAGAGATAGAAACATCAATGATGAGAGAATCATTGATCGGCTGCCTCCTGCATGCCCCCTACTGGGGATCAAGCCCACAACCCAGGCATGTGCCCTTGGCTGGAATCGAACCTGGGACCCTTCAGTCCACAGGCTGATGCTCTATCTAGTGAGCCAAACCAGCCAGGGCTGGATTGGTATTTGTTGAAGGCCTTCTGCTATCAAGATTTCACAGATATTTTTTTCATTTAATCTTAATCAAAGCCCTTTAGGTAGATACTATTTCCAGGTTCATTTTACACATTAGGAAACTGAGCTTAGAGAGGGTAAGCTACTTACTCAGAGTAATAGGTATTAAGTAGTGGAACTGAGATTCAAACTGTCTTAACTCTGTCTTAAGACTAGGCCCAACCCTAGCCGGTTTGGCTCAGTGGATAAAGCATGGGCCTGTGGACTGAAGGGTCCTGGGTTTGATTCAGTCAAGGGTATGTACCTCAGTTGCAGGCTCCTCCCTGGCCCCAGCCCTGGTCAGGCTCATGCAGGAGGCAACCAATCGATGTGTCTCTCTCACATCGATATTTCTCTCTGTCTTTCCCTCTCTCTTCCACTCTCTAAAAATCAATGAAAAAATATCCTCGGGTGAGGATTAAAAAATAAATAAATAAAAATAAAGTAGCTGTACCATTTAAAAAAAAAATAAATAAGCACTACATTATTAAAAAAACAAAACAAAAAAAAACGAGGCTCACATTCTTTCCTTTCATTTGTATGCCAGAAGCCACTATCAAGTACTGCTAACACCTTAAAGCAACCAAGTATCAACACAGTGTTTTTTGTTTTTGTTTTTAATCCTCACCCAAGGATATTTTTTCCATTGATTTTTAAAGAGAGTGGAAGGGAGAGATAGAGACAGAGAGAAACATCAATGTGAGAGAGATACATCGATTGGTTGCCTCCCTCACATGCCCCAACTGGGGCTGGGGATCCAGCCTGAAACCAAGGTATGCGCCCTTGAATGGAATGGAATCTGCGATCCTTCAGTCCGCAGGCTGATGCTCTAACCACTGCACACCGGCTAGAGCTCCATACTGTGCTGTTTATTAACAAGTTGAAATTACTGAAATCCAACACACACACTTGTTGAGTACCTAATGTGTGCCAGGCACCATTCTAAGTGCCAGGGATATAGAAGTGAACAAGACAGATAACATCTTTGCCCTCATGGAGCTTACATTTATGTGGAGATGACTGATCAAACATAAAGATGTAAATGAAGATCATTATTGATAATAATGAAGGAAATAAACACAGTAATGAGATAAGCAGTAAAAAAGGTGAGGGGTGGGCTGCTACTTTGAGAGGTTAGGAAAGACCTCTTCTGATGAGGTGACCACTGAACTGAGGCCTGGAGGACGGGAAGAAGGCAGCCAAGCAGACAGACAGCTTTGGGAAGAGCATTCCAGGTGGAGCGAACAGCCAGGGCACAGGCTCTGAAGTGGTATGTCAAGCAATAGAAGGAGACCAGAGCCCGTCCAGGGTGGAGAACACGGGGAAGCGGGTGGGGGATGAGGGTAGAGAGGAAGACGGGTTAGATTCTATAGGGTAAAGCATTTTGATTTTATTTTAAGGGCAATGAAGAGCCATTGAAGAATTTTGGATAATAAATAATGTGATCTACACTTTAAAAGCTCTCTCTTACTGGAGAGAGACATGCTCCCCAGAGTCAGTTCTGTATGTCACAGTTTACGAACCACCCTCACACATGCCCATCTTACGACGTGAGGGGAAGTGCAGGGCCTGGCCAGAGCCCTCACCTGGGTGACCTGGTTACCGCCAGGAGTCAGACTTAAAGTTATGTTCCTAAAACACCCTACTCCCCTCGGGCTCACACTTTTCTCTGAGGGTGGGCCTCCCTGATCACCCTGGGGGCTGTGTTCTGGTTGTAGGCCTACCAGGATGGAGGGGCATGCTGAAATGGAGATGCTGAGAACCCTGAAGGGGCCCTCTACAGGGGAGGTCAGCGTGCACCTGGTGGCCAGGGGCAGCCCCGGTTCTGGCCCTCACCTGCCCACTACTGCCTTCATCATTCCAGGTGGGCCAAGCCAGGGGTCTTGGGAGGAGGAGCATCCCCATGCCTGCCCCAGCAGGTGTGGATCCCGGGGAGGAGATGGTACTTTCACCTGCCCACACATGCATGGTGGTTTTGGGGTCGAGCCACCAGGCTCACCTGTGTCGGGTCTGACTGGGTGTCTGTTCACAGCCAGCTCTGCCACCCTTGGCCTGCCCAGCAGTTCCCTGGATGTGCCCTGCTTTCCACGGGAGCCGATCCATGTGGGCGCCCCGCAGCGAGTGCCCGGCAGCGTACCTGTCATGGCCACCGTTCTGCCGCAGTTGAGCGCAGGGACGGCGGCCAGCTCCAGCGCCAGCACAGTGCGGCTTCTGGGGTGGACCGAGGCCGAGGCCCCGGCCCCGCCTCCTGGGGGCGGCCTACGGGTCAGTGTCTCTGGGGATTGGCGGGGTCCAGCCTCAGCTGCGGTGGGGCTTGCGGGACCAGAGGTGGAAAGTGGGGGGAGCTGGCGGAGATGTAGGCTCCGTGGGTGGGGCTTGGAGTGAGGGACTGGGGGCTCGGCTTGGAGTCACGAGGGGTTCTAGAGACGTGTGGAGTGGGGAGTGGGCGCTGGGGGCGTGGCTTGGGCGGCCCCCAGCGGGGTGATGGGGGCGTGGCCTGGGTGGGGCGTGGCCCAGCGGGGATGCTGGGGGCGTGGCTTGGGTGAGGCGGTGGGAGAGGGACCGTGAGACTGGAGGTGGGTCCAGGGCCGGGACCGAATCACCGAGTCACGGTCCTGAGAGCCTACCGCGCTCCAGTGCCGGCTACCGGAGTACGCGCCACTGAACATGGTGGAGGCTACATATGGTACAACGAGCTGCGTCGGGAAGGTGTGGCCGAGTACGAAGCCGGCCAGGCGCCGGCGGGAGGCGGCGATGCGGGCCCCCAACAGCCGGGTAGGAGCCCAGGCCTGAGCGGGGCCCCCTGCGCGGGTGGAGCCACGGTCGGGGGCGAGGCCGGGTTCCTGCAGGTGCGCCCAGGGGTTGGTCGTAGGTGGGGAAGGCTTGGGGGGGAGGGGGGCGGTGCGGGGCGGTGGCCAGTAGAGCAGCCCGAGGAGGTAGGACCAAGGCGGAGGCCAGGGCCCGGGGGACTTGGGCTCCGCAGTGGGAGGAGCCTGGGTGTGGCTGGGATGGGGTGGAGGGCCTGAGGCCCCTTTGGCCCCCACAGCGGACCTCCCCCACGACCCTCCAGGAGACCCCCCGCAAGACCCCCCAGAGAATGGTGCCACCTGTCAGTGCCAGGCGTGTGAGCCTCAGCCAGGCTCCCGTCCAGATCCTGGCTCCTCCAGGGATGGCTGCCCCCCGCTGTTTCAGGAGCGGTAAGGCACAGGGCTCACCCCTCCACTTGCTCCGCTTTGGCGCCCCAAAGTCCCATTTCTGCTTATGGCTTCGGAGAGGGGCTGGGTGGTGCCTGGTGGGCCAGAGGTTCTTTCCTTCAGGCTGCCCCTCCCTCAGGTCAGTCATAGTGGAGAACTCCTCCGGCCAGAAATACTACACCAGCACTTCCGAGCTCCTCAAGCCCGTGAAGAAGAGGAAGTACAGGGAGTACCACAGTCCATCAGAGGAGTCGGAGCCAGATGCCGCGGTAGGGAGAGGACCGCGGGAGGGAAGGGGGAGGCCAGAGGCTATCCCTCAATCCCACTATCCTCTCCATAAATCCAGGCCAGGGGACTGGGCCAGAGAAGACACTGAATGACTCACTCATCACATTTTAGGGTCTCATCCTGAGCCAGGTCCTGTGCCTGGCTGGAGGGGAATGAATAAGTCACGCTGCCCCTTTTCTGGGGCTCCCATCTCCGTCTAGTGTCAGGGCTAACACACTCTCCCGTGAACCGGCACCCAGGAGAGCTGAGTGGACAGATGGCGAGCTCCGTCCCGGGAGCCCGGTCACTAGGCCAGAGGCCAGGGCGCACGGGGCTCTAGTTGCAGAGAAGCTGGAGGAAACAGCATGAGAGTCCCAGTGGGCAGTCAGAACCAGCACAGGCAGGTGTTCGTGTCCTGTCCCCCTCCCTGGGATTGAGGTGAATTATAGTCCGGTTGTGTAGCTGGTGGCGGTGGTGAGGGGGGTGTTCATGTGGTTCGTGTCCAAGTGGTAAGAAGTTGTCTGCTGGAGCTGCATTCCTTCTGGGGGCCTAGGAGAAATTCCACCTGTTTGGGGCAAAGCACCATGTGGCCAGAGAGCCAGGCAGGGGCCGGGAATAGCGACCGGGGCTTCTCTCAAATGCATGAGGACAGGACGCTGGGCTCAGACTTGCCTTCCACAGGAGAAGCGAGAAGAAAGGAAGGATCCGGAGGGACAGCCCACAGCTAGCATCCCAGAGAGTGAGGAGTGGAACGGCAGCCAGCCTGGTATGCGGCCTATGGATATGTATTCAAATATTGCGTGTACGCACCTTTGGAGGCGTGAGGCTGGGAGAGTAGGTTACAGTTGTGATGCTGTGTTGTACATATGTAGGTAAGCATCCGTTAGTGCGTGTGAGAGAGTATGAGAAAAAAGCAATGTTTATGGTTTGTGTATTAGTACGTGTGTGTTCTTTGTTGGGGTTATCTCATCTGTTTGTTTAGCCTCTATCCCGTGTAAGTAGGCCTCGCTGCCAGGCTCAGGATCCAAAGACTTGAGTATCACATGGCATTGCTTCCTTTTGGTGGTCTGAGCAAGTCTGTACCCGTCATTGGTCTGACCTTGCTGTTTGGGCCCCCATTCTGACCCTTTGGTTCTAAGAAAAATGGAACAAAGTTCGTTCATAGCCAGCTCTGGCCCTCAGGCCTTCTCCATCGCCATCCCCACTCTCCCATGTCAGCCTGTGTCTCCTGTCCACAGCGTCAGGGGAGAAGAAGGAAGGCTGGTCCTGGGAGTCTTACCTTGAGGAGCAGAAGGCCATCACCGCCCCGGTCAGCCTCTTCCAGGACGTGAGTGGGACAGCTTCCACCTAGGAAATGCTTGTATTCCCAGTCGAGGACTCACCACCCAACTCAGGCCTTCTGGTGTTTTCTGTGTCTGACATCTCTTAAAGGGATGGAATGGAAAGGGGAGAGACTGGTTGGGGACCAGAGTAGAAAAGAGCCCACAATAAGGGATGTCCAGGGTGGGAAGAAATAGGGAGGTGGAGCCAGGCTCCCCCATCACTGGGCCTGCAGACTTTTGAATTCTGGTGCCTTCTACTCAATTCTGTATATGGAGCTTTATTTTTTATTTTATTTTTTTCTTAATATATTTTATTGATTTTTTACAGAGAAGAAGGGAGAGGGATAGAGAGCCAGAAACATCGATGAGAGAGATCGATCAGCTGCCTCCTGCACGCCCCCCAGTGGGGATGCGCCCGCAACCAAGGCACATGCCCTTGACCGGAACCGAACCCGGGACCCTTGAGTCCGCAGGCCGACGCTCTATCCACTGAGCCAAACCGGTTCGGCTGTATATGGAACTTTAAATGACTTGGATGAGAGAGAACCCTTAAGTCCAGCCCTGACTTAACGCACGTTTTTCAAGGGACCCGGGCGCTATTCTGTCCCCCTCTGAATCCCTGCACTAAAGACCCCCAAATAAGTTATCCCTTTGGTAGTACCGGCGGGTGGGGCCTAAAGGCAGCTCCTTCACCCCAAGCCCACTAGGCCAGGATAAGGCTGGATGGAAGCTGGGTCCTCTCCAATCTGTGCGTTGACAGTACCAGGCGGTCACTCATAACAAGAACGGCTTCAGATTGGGCATGAAGTTGGAAGGCATCGACCCTCAGCACCCATCCATGTACTTCATCCTCACCGTGGCCGAGGTGAGCCGAGGCTCGCACCACCGTTCTGATGGTGTCTCTCAGGATAGACTGATGGAGCCTGCCAGGGGCATCCGGGGCTCGGGCTCAGATGAGGGAGACACGCTCCTGCCCTCAGAAAACACAGTCTCGTGGGGGATTGAGGTGGTTGCATCGAAAGACGAAAAATGAACAGAAACCAGAGGAAGTGTGAGGGTGGTGATGGTGCTACGTGGGTGTGCACTTCAGTGCTGGGCGAACTGGAGGAGATCCTGAGGGCAGGGGCGTTGGCATGAGTCCAACAAGGTGCTTGTCGTCTTGGAGCTCACAGTTGTGTGGGAATCAGCCAGGTAAACATATCAGTGACACCCCACAGGCAGGGGACCGACGTGAGCAGAGCAGAGAGGCCCTGAGGGGGCAGGAGAAGCTTCACCGAGGCAGGGGCTCCTCTGCTGAGTCTTGAGAGACGAGTTGTGAATGGCTAGGGTGTCCCAGGCAAAGGGAGCAAAGTGAGCAAGGACCCTGGGGTGTGAAACAGGCCGTGTTCACGGAGCTGCCGTTAGCTCAGTGAGGCCAGAGCAGAGTGTGTGACTGAGGAGCAGTGAGAGAAGAAGCAGAAAGAAAGGTCAGGGGGGCCTTGAGCACACCTGAGCCCTGGTAGGTGCCCATGGGGTTTTGTCTAGGTCTTAAAGGGCAGGAGGATGCCACCAGATGTGCCTGTCTTGTACCCAGAACTCAGAGCTCACAAGTACATGAACGTTCCTCATTGCAGGAGAGTATGGCACAAAGTTCAGGATAGGCGGAAACCTGGGAGTGAAGGGAGGTGGGGAGCCTGCTAGCATTAGAGCCCCGAGATGACCAGGCCAGGCAGGAGAGGTGAAGGCAAAGGAGTGGGTGTCTGCTGGCATTAGAGTCCCTGTGATTCCCCCTCATGGGGCCAGGTGTGTGGCTATCGTCTCCGACTGCATTTTGATGGGTATTCTGAGTGCCATGACTTCTGGATCAATGCCAACTCCCCTGACATCCACCCTGCTGGCTGGTTTGAGAAGACTGGGCACAGGCTGCAGCCCCCCAAAGGTAAGGCCTAGCTAGGCTGGTCACAGTGAGGCAGGGGCCCTCAGGCCCATCCCTTCTTCCCCATGGGCTCCCTTCCCTTCCCCATTGCACAGCCAGCCTCTCTCCACCACCTCTTGCTGTGACGTGGCCCCAGGGTTCTGCTGTGCCCTTGCCCTTTGAGTGTCCACCCGAAGGTGTCCTGCTTCGGCCGTGGGTCCCTGGGCAGGTTCTTGAGGGCTGTGGGGTCCTCAGGCCTGCCCGATTCTGCTGCTTCAGTGTGGGGTGCCCTGGCCGCGGCCCAGCCTCTGTCTGCACGGCGCTCTGTTCATCCCCGTGCGGGGCCTAGGTTACAAGGAGGAGGAGTTCAGCTGGAGTCAGTACCTGCGCAGCACAAGAGCTCAGGCTGCCCCCAAGCACCTGTTTGTGAGCCAAAGCCACGTGAGTGCCCCTGAGCCAGAGTGGACACCTGCCCCGGGGACAGCGTCACGGCAGCGTGCCCAGGGTATCTGACTTCCCCAAGGAGAGCTCCTCTTCCCGTGCTCTCAGCTCTGTTCTGGTCTCTCCTACCAAACGGGAGGGGCACGCCGGGCAGGCCAAGGCCAGAGGGAGAAGCTGGGCATAGGTTCTCCCCTGTTCCCTCTACAGAAAGCCTCTTCTTCGTCCCCTCGGAGGCCCCGCTCACTGTCTCTGCCTGGGCTCTGAGATGTCACTGTGCTTGTCTCTTTTTTATTTATTTTTATCTATTTATCTATCTATCTACCTATCTATCTATTTCAAAAATATTTTTATTGATTTCAGAGAGGAAGGGAAAGGGAGAGAAAGATAGAAACATGAATGATGAGAGAGAATCATTGATCGGCTGCCTCCTACACATTCCCCCACGGAGGATCGAGCCCACAACCCAGGCATGCGCCCTGACAGGGAATCGAACCGTGACCTCCTGGTTCATGGGTTGATGCTCAACCACTGAGCCACACAGGCCAGGCACCATGCTTGTTTCTTGCTTTGGTTTGCTCTGTAGTTTTTGGTGTGAGGTCCGAGCCTCTGTCCTGGGAGCTGCCTTTGCCAGCCTTTTGCCCGACATCAAGGCTCTCCTATTTAGTCTCAACAACTCACCCTTGTCTTTTTCTCTGTTCAAGGCAGCTGGCAGCTTTACACAGCAGTTCACGTATCTCTTAATCCCAAGCAAATGGTCTGAGAGATATAGGGGACCCCCATTAAAAATATCACCATATCAAAAGTCCAGGGTTCCCCAACATTTAAGGGAATGTGAGCACAATGCAAAGTGTCTTTAAAAGCATGTTGTGATGTACATATTTTGTAATTACCTGTTTTGTTGTTGATGTGGCAACCATTTGTAAAACATTCCAAATAATTCCACAGTTCTCAAGCAAAAAAAAAAAAAAAAAGCCCAGGATTCCCCTGGGCCCAGGACCCTGCCATGCCATTCGGGCAGTTACCCGCCACCTCCAGCCCAGCCCAGAGACCATACTGCAGGTGCCCAAGTGATGGTGGGGGTCTGCCCGCTCTTGTGAGAGGGGATGAGACTTGTAAGTCATACTTTTTCCATCCTGGCCCACCGTTGATTAGCACTGTGGTCCTGGGCATGTTGTCTGACTTATCAAACGGGGATGATGACAGCTGTCTCGTTGGGCCGGCTGCGCTCCACCTGGTACACTTGGGTGAATGTGCACCTTCCTGCCAGTCACTCATCTTCTGCCATTATGAGGCTTCCTCTGAATACACCTTGGGGTCCAGAAGTTCCTGAGTGACTCTGGGCTGGGGATTATGATTCTGCCTGTTTCTCCCACCCCCTAACCCCAGCATAACTCTTAGGGAACCCACTCCTTCCCTTGCCAGTGGCCTCCAGGCTAGCACTAGCCTGCCTGGCAGCCCCTCTTCTTGCCCCCAGAGTCCCCCACCCCTGGGCTTCCAGGTGGGCATGAAGCTGGAGGCTGTGGACCGTATGAACCCATCCCTCGTCTGTGTGGCCAGCGTGACCGACGTGGTGGACAGCCGCTTCCTGGTGCACTTTGACAACTGGGACGATACTTACGACTACTGGTAGGGGGAGGGCCCAGACTTGGCCGGGGTGGTGAGGGGATGGCAGGGGAGGGAGGCAAGACTTTGAAAACTTAGACACATGTAGCCCCTGCCCAGCCCTAGCATTCATATTTGTTCAGGGGGGTAATTGGTTGTCCTGTGGGTTTGATCTATGTATATCGTAAGAAACACATGCAATATATATATTTTTAATCCTCATTCGAGGATATGGTCTTTTTTTGTTGTTAAGACTTTAGAAAATATTAAGTGCATGTTTCATAAAGCTGCTATCTTCTAAGGATGCTAGAATGCCTCAGATATGTTTTTTATTGACTTTTTAGAGAGAGAGGAAGGGAGAGGGAGAGAGGGAGAAACATTGATCAGTTACCTCCTGTATGTGCCCTGACTGGGAACTGAACCCATGACCGAAGGGTGCATGGATGATGCTATAATCACTTAGCCACACTGGCCATAGCCACAATGCAATATGAGAGGTATCATCTAGAAATACCAAGGTTAAGATGAGCAGACCCCTGTGATTCATGGTTTGCTCTTAGATAAGATGGTGGTGGTAGAGCTTTCAGTTAATGGTACAGTTTTCTGACTTTCTCACCAGCCATCTGTCTAACTCTCACTAAGTAGGGTGCACCCTGACGCCGTGCTGTTGTAGGCAGCAGGCTCAGGGCCTCCAAGTTTCACTTGGGACAGTGAAGTATATTCTTGGGTTTCAGGTGTGATCCCAGCAGCCCCTACATCCACCCGGTTGGCTGGTGCCAGAAGCAAGGAAAGCCCCTCACACCTCCACAAGGTGACCGTGCAGCCTGAGCACACCCTGCCTGGGCCTGGCCCCACCCCCCTCTCCCCAGGTCCTACACCAGTACCCCTAGGAGCCTCAGCCTCTATGCCTGGGAGTAGAGAACCCTTTAATTTTAGGAGAGTCCTGTCCAACGCTGACTGTGTGAAGGTTTAAGGCAGTGGTTCTCAACCTTGCTAATGCCTCGACCCTTTAATACAGTTCCTCATGTTGTGGTGACCCCCAATTTCATTACAAATTGAACATAATGAAAGCATAGTGATTAATCACAAAAACAATATGTAATTATATATGTTTTCCGATGGTCTTAGGCGACCCCTGTGAAAGGGTCGTTCAACCCCCAAAGGGGTCGCGACCCACAGGTTGAGAACTGCTGGTTTAAGGGAAGAAAGTTAAGGGACACTCCCTCCCCAACAACAAGGGTGCAGGATTCCAGAGTGAAGGAAGTGTTCCCTTCCCTTTCAGAGTATTGCTTGGGCCCACATACAACAGAGGTTTAGAGGGGGCTGGGCTGGGGCTGGAGCCACAGGGCAGTGGAGAGGAATGGGAGCCAGGGATCCCAGACAGCCCGGGAAACGGGGTGGTGGTGATGTGCTTGCTAGCACCCCTCTGCCTCCCGAGCCCCCGCAAGGAGCTGGCCTTGGTGATGTGGGGGTAGATTGTCCTCCATGGGCCTCTGTCTCTTTCGTGCTCCTGGTTCTCCTTGGGGGCAGGGAGCTCTCCCAGTACGCCTGGGTGCCTAGACATTGCTGTCCTCCTCTCTCCAGACTACCCAGACCCTGACAGCTTCTGTTGGGAGAAATATCTGGAGGAAACTGGGACCTCTGCCGTGCCCACCTGGGCCTTCAAGGTGGTGAGTTGGCTCTCCTGCCCCCAGAGCTGAGCTCAGGAAGTCGTGGAGCCCTTGGGCAGCTAGGATGTGCCCCTGCCCCCCCCCCCCGACTTTTGCAGGCCCCAATTTTCCAGGCACAGCACTTGGACTCCCTTCTTGGGGGTCTCAGCACTGCTGTTCTGGGCCTCGGCCTGAAGGCTGCTGTCCCCCTGCAGCGACCCCCGCACGGCTTTCTTGTTAACATGAAGCTGGAGGCCGTGGACCGCAGGAACCCATCCCTGATCCGTGTGGCCAGTGTGGAGGATGTGGAGGACCATCGGATAAAGGTGGCTCTGGGACCCTTGGGCTGGGGAAGTGAACAGGCCGATTGGGCAGGAATTCTGTAGATTCATTCGAGGTCAAGGGCATGGCATGAGCCAGACATAAGGGAAGCTGCACGTTGTGGAGAAGAGAGCTCTAAATTTGAGGCTGAAGATCTTGGGTCTCATTCGAGCCTCATCCGTGACTTACTTTTGTGTGCTTGAGCAGGTCATTCCCCCTTCTGAGCCTTAGCACTCTCATCTATGAAATGGCCTGATAATCCTAGATTTATGTGAGGATTGATGGGAGATGCCCATAATTTAATGATGAAGCCTTTGGGGCACATGGCGGCCAAGACAGATTATTGTGGGGTTGGCCCCTTGGTTCTTCCAATCCAGGATCTTGCTTCTGACAGGCTCCGGGGATGGGGAGAGCCTCCTGGAGCCTGCAGGACCTCCTGGCTGAGCGGGGCTCCGCGAGGAATGCCTGACTTCCAAGGGCCTTTCCTCCCCAGCTCCACTTTGATGGCTGGAGTCATGCCTTTGACTTCTGGATTGATGCCGACCACCCGGACATCCACCCCGCCGGCTGGTGCTCCAAGACAGGGCATCCCCTGCAGCCTCCTCTCCGTGTGTACCCCTAGGGCACTCTGATCCTTTCCTACTGATGTCCAGCCCCACCCCGAGCTCCTACCTCCCCACACCGCCCCCTGCTTTGATAGCGTGCCCAGGTCTGACACACAGGACTCTGGAGGCCTCAGTGAGCTCTGAGACCTCGCACCCTCCCTCCCTTCTCTGGCTTCCCCAGTTGTTGGGTTGGGGTATTGAGGTGTGAAGGGGAAACTTACTTGGAGATGTGCTTAGGAGCACACAGAGCGTGCATGGCGTTTGCTAAGGAAATGCTGGCTCTGTTAAATAAAATCTGGGCCCTTACAGGCAGGGGTTAGAGGTCAGATCATCGGACTGCTCAGTTCTCACCTCAGGATCCCCCCTCCAGCCCTGTTTCCCTGCTGCTGCCACATCTGTCTCTCGTGGGGTGTTGATCCTTCTCGATTGCTCTCCAAGCATGGGCAGAGCCTAAAAAAAGTTACCAAAGTCTAGGGGATGAAACAGGGAAACAGAGAATAATGTCAGTCTGCCTGACATGGCTCTTAAGGTACAGCTGGGCCCACACCAGCTCTGTGTTGGATATTCCCTCGCGGAGACAGAGGGCATGGCCTGCAGGTTTCACCAAAGTATATGAGAGCCAAACCCCTCATTCCCTACAGAGAGGTAAATTTCCAGTAGCAGGAAGTGGTGTCACAGCCTACCTCGGGGCCTTCTACCTGGGGAACTAATTCCCAGGGCTGACTTCCCTGCTCTCCATTCATCCCACCCCCACCCCTACCCCAGGTCCTTATGCTGACTCTTGTTCCTGTCCCTCCAGATCCCAGAGAGCTCGGCTCTGCCTCCCCTGAGAGCTGTTCCCCTCTCAGCTATCGGGGCCTGCCGCACACGAGGACCTCCAAGTACAGCTTCCACCACCGGTGAGGGCAGGGCTCCTGCTGAGAGACCCTCAGACACTGCTCAGAGAGGATTTGTGTGTGGCCAATCAGAGCTCACTAAAGATCCTCTCTGAATGGGGCTAGGCTTGGAAAGGGCTCAGGGGAACAAGCGGGTTCAGCCCAACTTATGCCTTCTTCTTCCCCAGGAAGTGCCCCACGCCTGGTTGTGATGGGTCCGGCCACATCACAGGCAAGTTCACAGCTCACCATTGCCTCTCGGGGTGCCCCCTGGCTGAGAGAAACCAGAACCGGCTGAAAGTGGAGCTGTCCGACTCAGAGGCCTCGGCCCGTAAGAGGAACCTCTCGGGCTTCTCCCTAAGGAAGAAGCCTCGCCATCATGGCCGGTGCGGAGGGCAAGGGTGCAGGGCCTCTTGTCCTCTTGGGCAAGGCCAGGCACTGATTCCCTGCCATGGACCTGGTCCCTCTCTCTCCAGGACTGGGCGCCCTCCAAAGTATCAGAAGATTACACAAGAAGAGTTGGCGAGTAAGTCCAGGGTCATTTACCTCCACGTCCTCCACAAAGTGTGTACAATTTGGTGGGATGTTACAGAGAAGGAGAGCTGGTCCGGGCGGCGTGGCTCAGTGGTTGAGCATCGACCCATGAACCAGGCGATCATGGTTCAATTCCAGGTCAGGGCACATGCCTGGGTTGCGGGCTTGATCCCGACTAGGGGATGTGCAGAAGGCAGCCAATCAATGATTCTCTTTCATCATTGATGTTTCTCTCTCTCTCCTTCTCCCTCTCCCTCTCTCTGAAATCAATTAAAAAAATACTAAATAATCCTTTATAAAAAAGAGAGAGATGGGGAAGCTGAAAAGGTGGTTGTATCTCTTCGTTTGGGGAGCATGGAGCAGTGGCAAGAGTACAGGATGGGGCTCGAATGACCACAGGTTCCAGGCCCATTTCACCCATGGCCTTGCTGGGAATCTGTGGGAAAGGCACAGAACCTCTCTGGGCCTCTGGTTCTCCACTGGGAGGTCAGATGATGCCCTAGCTCTGTTCTTCATTCTAGGCTCCCTGGGAGGGAAGCATGGCTTGTCACTGTCTAGCTGTGTGACCTTGAGCAAGTCACTGAACATCTCTGAGCCTCAGTTTCCTCATTTGAAAACATGAATATAACTGCCCTGGCAGGGTATCTCAGTTGGTTAGAGCATCGTCCCGATACGCCAAGGTTTTGGGTTCGATGCTCAGGGCACATACTAGAAGCAACCAATGAATGCATGGTAGGAACAACAAATCCATGTCTCTCTCTAAAAATAAATAAATGATTAAAAGAAAAGAAAGAAAACATGAATAACTGCCTTTCACATGTCAGCTACCTGCAATAATAGTGGTTACTATTACTGTGGATAGGATTCTCTTCTTCTGAGAAGAGAATGAGAGGCTCAGAGAGAGAGAAGTCATTTGCCTGAGGTCATTTGCCTTGTCAGGAGCAGAGCTGGGATTCAAACTCGGGTCTGAGTTCTGCTATGAGCTGCTGATATAATAGACATAAAGCACCTAACCTAATGTCAGTTCCCTTCCCAACCCCCTTTGTTTTAGCTTGGCTGTCATAACCAAGTACCACAGAGTGGGTGGCTTAAACAACAGAAATTTATTTTCTCACTCTTCTGGAGGCTAAAAGTCCAAGGTCAAAGAGTGGAGGGGTTTGGTTTCTTCAGCGGCCTCTCCTTGGCTTGAAGATGTCTGCCTTCTCGCTGTGTCCTCACATGGTCTTTCCTCTATGCCTGTATCCCCCCCCCCCCCATCTTTCTGTGTGTCTAAAATTCTTTTTCTTACAAGAGCACTACTTGGATTGGATTAGAGTCCACCCTGCCTAACCACCCCTTTAAAGGCCCTTTCTCCAATTACAGCTACATTCTGAGGTACTGGGGGCTGGAGTTTTAACATATGAATTTGGGGAGACGCAGCTCAGCCCATAGCATGCTCCAAGGGGAGGCACAAGGGGACTGCACCCTCCCATTGCGTAATGAATTCATCTCACATCTCTGACCAGTAGCAGGCACACTGGGGATCTTGCCTCATTTGAGTTGCACATGGTTTTAAGTCAGGAGGAGACCATGAACAATCACCTGGTTCATTACACAATGTCTGGGCAGGACCCAGCCTATTCGAGTGCTTCAGGAACAGTCTGTGAACCCGGGCACTCTGAACCTCAATGACCTCACCTGTAAAATGCTGATGATAATAGTGCCAATCTCAAAAGGTGGTGGGAGACTTAGCCGAGATGGTCACATAACCTGGAATTCTCGCGTGTCCTGATCTCTTGCCTGATTCCCTCCTGGTGTTGTTCCCTACTGTTTCCTCTGGGTGGAGACAGAAGGCAATTCCTGCAGCCTCAGGCCTGAGGAGGAGGGTCTCAGAGTGAGGACTTTTGGGGGTGGGACTGCAGAGGGTACCTCTTCCACCTTCAGTGGGGATCCTGGTCGGCTTCCATTGCAGGGCCACGTTCTGGCCACCAGAGGGCGAGTGCCTGTGTTCATTCCAGAAGTGTCCTGAGGACTAGGGAAGTTCAGTCTTCCCAGAGCCTGAGGCTATAGCCCTCCAGGGACAGGACGGAACAGAGGACAGGGCGCAGGCCTCGGACCTCTGTGCAGGGCTCCCTTGTCCTACCAGCTGGCTCTCTCACAGAGGGGACACAGTCACTCTGGATTTGTTCCAGAGACTTCTCACACATCCATGGGGAGACCTCTTCAGTGTGGGCTCCAGGGTTCGCTGGCAAACAGCTCCGAGGTGGAGGCTGCCTGCCAAGGACAGGACTCGGCTGTGCTCTCCCTGCTGGTAGGGCCCGCCCAGCCCCCTGAGGGTCAGTGTTTGAGAGAACAAGAGGAAACCACAGAGGTTTCCTTGCCCAACCTGTTCATTTACAGCCTGGGAAACAGGCCCCTGTTATGTGACTTGCCCAAGGTTCAAGAGCAAGTTAATGAGGGTCCAAAAGGACTTAGGGAAAGGAGGACAGACACAACGGGCTTCTTGCTGGGTGTCCACCCCTTGGATGCAAGGTATCTCGAGAAGGGGACCAGGATGCTGCAGCAGCTCTGAGAAAGCCTCCTTGCAGGGCCCCAGGGTGCAGCCTCAGAGGGATGGGGGTTGGGGAGGAGGTCATTCCAAGCAGCTGACCCGAGAGTCTGTAAAGCAAGGAAGCCACTTTACCGGAAGGAGCGAGCCCAGATGAGGCAGATCTGGACCACCCTCTTGGCCCTGCAAGGCTATCAGAAGGGGCCGTGGTCCTCTTGAGTGGCGTGGGTACAGGCCGGCTCCTGGGGCCAGGTTAGTCCCCAGCATCGGCCTGCCAGCCTCTGCCTCTGCTTTCCAGCACTAACGACCGATGTCATCCACCAGTCCTTCTTCATGTCATCCCTGTCGGCCCACGCTGACCGGTCCCTCTCAGTGTGCTGGGAGCAGCACTGCAAGCTCCTGCCGGGAGTGGCGGGCATCTCGGCCTCGACAGTGGCCAAGTGGACCATCGATGAGGTGAGGAGCTCGGCCCCTTCTTCCCCTCCTCTGCTCTGCCCTCTCACCAGGACACCCTCGTTCAGGAGGCCTCCCAGGCAAAGCTGGAAGCTACCCCTGACACTGTCTCCTGCCCATCCCTCAAGTCCACAGTCCCTCCTCGCTGCCCGGCGGGGACTGACGGAGAGACTGCTCCATGGCCCGTCCTGGTGGATGGGGAGAGGGGCCGGCTACTAGCCCAACTGGAAATCTAGCGGGAGGGGCAGCCTGAGCCTCACATACCCAGTAGCACAGAGATGCAAGGATCCTCTTAGGTTGATAAGAAAAAGCAACACTGTCACAGCTCAGAAGGTGCCAAGGCCATATAAGCCGCCTCCCCCCTGTCTCCCAAGCCCCTGTATCCTTGGCAACAGGCAACATGTCTTCTTTGATTTCCAAGGTCTTCGGCTTCGTTCAGACCCTGACAGGTTGTGAGGACCAAGCACGACTCTTCAAAGATGAGGTAAGTGAGGTGCAAGTGCAGAGTGGGGACAGAGAAAGATCACCCACTGAGAGGCAGGGAGCAGGTGTCCCCACCAGTGCTGCCCCCACTGTAGGGAAGGTCCTCTGTTGTCACACCTGCGGAGGAGTAGTCATAGCCACACCTCTGGGAAACATCTGGTACGGACCGTGGCCCAGCTTGGGAACCCTCTGTATCCAGACCATCCCAGGAAGGAAGAAGCATCCTGGAGACGAGGTTCCATCCACCCCTCTGCCCTCTGCCCCCCCTCTTTTGTTCTCCAAACTTACCTTCAGTCGGTTAATTCAAGTGCATTTTAATACCTGATGGCACAGGTATTGCCATTTACTGCAAGGACCCTACCATACACATAAAAGCAGGACCCCAAAGCTCCCAAAGGTAAGAAGCAGCGAGTTATCGATAAAAGAATGCTAGCTTTGCAGACAGTTGGGTTTGAATCCCAGTTCTGCCAATTTGAGCTTTTTACTGTCCCTGAGCCTGCATCTTCTTATGTGTAAAATGGAGATAAAATAGATATAATGATGTCTACCTTTCCAGGCCACTGTGAGCCTTGGCAATGACGAATGGATCGTTGTATCAGAATGTCTAGGATAGTTATACCCTAGTATATATACTATTATATTATTGTAGGAGTCCTATATATTAATATTATATATAATATTAGAGAGTAATATGTAAATCATATCACTGTACAAGAATAACTGATACAGTGGGGCTTCAATCAATGGTTGTTCTGACTTTGAATGTGCAGTCGTCCTTAAATGAAGAACTTTATCACGTCTCTCCAATTTGTAGAGTTTGAAACTGGAAGGGGCCTTTGAGTCTGTTTAGGTCTTCCTTCCAAAGAATTCACACATCCCCTTCACCCAGGAAGTGTGGTCTCTGCCCCCCTAGGTGCCTCCTTCGGGCAATGCCCATGAGAGAGAAGTCTGCCCCTTTCCCGGGAGAATCTCTCCATCCAGCCGACCAGCCAGTTTCTTCCTCAGGTCCTAGTTTGGCGGGGCTCCCTCGATCCTCCCCATTCTGGGTCCTTTCCTTCTGGGTTGTGATCTTCTTATCGTAATGGGTGTGTCCAGGGCTGCACCTGTGTTTCAGATGCTCTCTGAACAGCATAGCACCTGGGCTGCTCCTCCAGATGGCTTTAGTTTCTGTTTTAAAAAAGACTTTCTTACTTTAGAGCAGTTTCAGGTTCACAACGAAATTGAGAAGACAGTACAGAGATGACCCATATGCCCCCTGCCCACATGCACAGCCTCCCACTTCATCCACATCACTCAGCAGAGCGGGGCATTTGTTACAGTTGATGAGCTGACATCTAGATGTGTGTACATGGAGATCAGATATACACGGAGAGAAAGGCACCCATCGTAACGGTGCACACCCACAGCTTTGTGGGATGTGTACACGCTGAACCCAATACTTCAGTCAAGATATGAAGCGTTCCCGTCACACCAGAGAGTTCTTTCTTGGCCCCTTTCCTCAGTCCCCAACCTCATGGCAGCCACTGTTCTCACATCCAGCACCACAGGTTAGCTTTGCCTGCCCTTGAACATCATATAAATGGAATCATACAGCATGTACTCTTCTTTGTCTGTCTCTTTTCACTCAGTGTGATGCTTTCGAGGTTCATTCATGTTCTTGTGTAGACCCTTGGTGTGTTCATTCTTATTGCCACGCAGTGCTCCATTTTATGACTATCCCACAGTTAATGGAATTTTCCCTCCCCCTCGATTTGAACCCTGTATTTTTGTAACACTTAAGATTGCACTAGCTTTATTAGAGCCACATCACACCAGTTTTGAGTTCACGAGAGTCCCCATGTGCTTTTATATCAATTATCCATTATAATCAACCCAAAATTTCCAGTGTGTTACTTGTACCACTGGCTTTTTAAAATTAATCTAATGAAAGACTTTACATTTCTCCCTGTTAAATGTTATGTTGGTTTCATGATCTCACTGCTTTAAACCTTAACTCTGTCATCTCTGATATTAATAAGCCTTTCCAGCCTCATACAACTTGTACATTTTCAAAATATGTGTTTATTGATTTTAGAGAGAGAGGGAGCAAGATAGAAACATCAATGAGAGAGAAACATCATCAATCAGCTGTCTCCTGTATGCCCTGACTGGGGATTGAACCGGTGACCTCCTGGTGCATGGGTTGACGCTCAATTAATGAGTCACCCTAACTGGGCTACAACTTGTACATTTGCTAACTAAGCCTTCTGTGTTAATTTAAGCCAAGTCTTCACCACATGTGTTGATAAAACAGCAGAAGCATGTGGCGCCCATTAGAGATCTTCCATTAGGTGACAACCGATCATAAACGAACACTCTCTGAGTACAGTTGTTCAGCCAGCTGCTGAGCCACCCGAGAATTTGATCCTCTAGCCCATGCTGGGCTCGCAGTGTCCCCGTGTTGGAAGAAGGGTTATCTCTCCCGGGAACATCTGCTGCGTGTCTCGGTTCAGCATGTTCTGTGATACAAAAAAGCAACGGCCAGAGCAAGGAGGTGTGCTGGTGGACCGGCAGTACCCAGTACAGTCTCAGTGTAGACCTTTGTGGGGGCTGAGGATTGCCTTCTCCAAGGTCTGGTCCACGGCATCAGGCTCCCCAGGGAGTGGGTTCTCTCTGGCCGAACGGATGCAGCCAGGACACTCAGGGACACCGGTCAAGATGAATGGTGAATTGCTGCTTCCGGTGGCATGTGGTTAGGACTCCGAGGAAGGTGTGTGTCAGGTGTAATGTGTGCTCAGAGGAGCGGGCAGGACAGAGAGAGGTCAACAGACTCTGCTGACCATGCAGCTGGTTAAACACGGGCAACTTCCTGCTCCCTGAGTGTCCCTTTTTCTTGGGTTCCCGTGGGCCATGCCTCTCTGTTGTGATAGCATAGAAGTCTCCTCATCAGCTGATTAGATTTTAGCTTGGCCTCTGTTAAACATCCCACGTGTGGCTCTCTAAGGATCTTTCCAGGTTACGCCAACCTGGGGAAATTCCCTGGTCCTATCCATAGCTCTCGGGCTATTGCTTAGGGTGGATCATTGCATTTGGCTCATTTTATTCATTTTCCTGTTGAATTTCTCTACCTTCAAGGTCAAATATGACCATTTCCGAGATTATGGCTGAAAACTCCATATACAGCAGCACACATACAACATCTTGTATGTTCTTGAGTAATCCCATTGTCCCCTGACACAGTCCCAAACTACTAGTCAACAAACTCCAGTCTTTGCTCTGAAGAACCTAGACTCAACCTCAGCAGTCACAGTAGTGAGAAATCTCCAGGGGAGGCACAGGGACCACTGGAAAAGTCTTGCAGAAGGTGCCCTGGGTTGGTCTCATTGCTTCCTTGCAGTGTCGTTCAACTTGTTGCAACATCCTATGTATTTCCTGTAAACTGGAAGTTAGAAACAAGGGCTTGGTTAGATTCAGATGAAATCTCAAGCTCTCTCTCTCAGATCTCATAGGTAATACTGTGATGCATTGATTGGAATGCCCGCATGTCTGTTAGCAGCACTGAGATTGACCGGTGGGTTCATGTGGGAATAGCAATAGCAGGTTTTTTGTTTGTTTGTTTGTTTGTTTGTTGTTGTTGTTGTTTTAATCTCTACCTGAGGATATTTTCCCATTGATTTTTAGAGAGAGAGGAAGAGAGAAGGAAAGACAGAGAGAAATATCGATGTGAGAGAAACACATCAATTGGTTGCCTCCTTCATGAGCCCCGGCCAGGGCCAGGTCTGGGGAGGAGCCTGCAACCGAGGCACATGCCCTTGACCGGAATTGAACCCAGGACCCTTCGGTCTGCAGGCCTGCGCTTGAACCACTGAACCAAACCGACTAGGGCAGCAATAGCAGGTTTTTGAAGCCACAGTCAGTGAAGACTCAGAAAACATTATGCAAATACACACTGAAGTCCAGATCTGTCAGCAGAAAGAGTGTGTGTGTGTGAGTGTGAGTGTGTGTGTGAACATGGGAACACCAGTGGATATCTTTCTTTCCTTCTCTGTCCCCATTGCTATCTTCCTTTTTTCCTTTCTCCCTCCCTTGTCCTTTCTCCTTTTCCTTCTTCTTTCCCTCTCCCTCCTCTTTCCTTCCCCCCATATATCCTTTACTCCCATTTTCCTTCTCCCCCTCCCCCTCGCCATGCATATGCCCACCTTCCTTCACTCCTTCCCCATGACCCTCTCCACCTTCTCCGATTTCCACTTCCCTCCCCCAACCCTCAGATGATTGATGGCGAGGCCTTCCTTTTGCTGACACAGGCGGACATTGTGAAGATCATGAGCGTCAAGCTGGGTCCAGCCTTGAAGATCTATAACGCCATTCTCATGTTCAAAAACGCCGATGACACCTTAAAGTGACTGGCTCAGGGCTGGGCCCTCCTCCAACCCCAGCCGGGCCTCCCTCTGCACCTGATGCTTCCTTCCTGACCTGAGTTCCTCATATCCCACCTGTGCCCCCACTATGCTCTGCATCTGACCAGGGGTGGTTGCTCTTCTCTCCAGGGCTGCTTCCTTCAAGGTACATGGGAGCAGAGGAGCCCCGGGGAGGATGGAATCTTAGCCCCCAAGTCCTGGAACTCATCTGCCACCAGGCATACCAGTGAGGGTGTGACATTGCTGGGGGAGCATTACTGATGGAGTGGGTTGGGGGTACCCTGCCTATGGCAGCCCACTTCTCTAGCCAACTTGTTTTGTCACCACAGGGTCTTGTTGTTTGCAATTAAGAACAGTCTGGTGGAGCGAGAGGCCCTTTCGGCACCTCTCTGTGCTTTTCTTTCCTTGTCTCCTTTCCTCCTACCAAGAAGTGACCCTGCCACAAACATATTTACTCAAAAGGCACCTCCCCCCCTGTCTTTTGGTTTTGCCGCCGTCATTCTGCTGCTCAGTTTTCTGGTCAGTGCCCCCACCCTGGCACAGCCAGACCTCACTGGTTCCTCCCTTTAAGTGGGTGCGCCTCAGACACATGTTTTCATAGGATCCAATGGGAGTGTGGGCTGCTGTTCTCCATTTTACCCAGAAGTGAGGGATTCTGAGCCAAAATGCCTTCTTAAACGTGTCCAACTCTGGACCACTTGGCAGTCTTAGTGTTCCACGCCTAGACCTGTTTCCAGCAGAGCGGGTAGTCAGAGCATTTCACCTCTGCAGCAGGGGTTAAGGTTCCATGGGTGTTCCCCATACACTCTCAGTGTGTCAGGTATGGGAGGAGGCAGCCTGAATGGCTAGGTAGCCAAGGCCAGCCCAAGAGTACGTCAGACAATCTTTGGTCAGAGGGGCAGCTCCACCAGGTATTGTGGCTCCCAAAGCTGGCAGCCATGGGTCTCAGCCAAGGTGTTGCCCATGGCGGGAGTCAGGGGAGCGTGCGTGCCAGGCCTCCTGTCATGGGCAAGTAGCACTCTCTCTAGTACACACACACACACCCTGTAACATCACCTCAGCCTGTCCCTCACATGCCCTGCTCTTGGGTTTTACAAAGAGGACTTGAAGTTGGAAGTTGGGAAAGTGAATTCTATCTTTGAGCTCTCTGAGTCCCTTAAGCCTTTCTTACCCCTCTCCATCAGTGTTGCAGTGGGGGGCCTGCTGGGAGTCTGGGACTTTGACCTTTCTGTCCAAGTGGGGGCCTAGCCTCCACTGAGCCACTGCCAAACCTGAAGCCTGAGAGCAGGCCCCATGGGGAGATGGGGAGCAGGGGCTGAGCTGGGCCTTCCCCAGACTGCTCTGCCAGCCATGGGAGGGGTGTGTGTGTGTGTGTGTGTGTGTGTGTGTAGGGCACTCTCAGAAGTGTTTGACAGGGTGATGTGAGGCTCAGTGTTGGGAAAATGTCAAGGGCTATTCCTGTTACAATATGAAGCTTTATCTTTCCCATAGAAGAGAGAAACCCAAAGTTCAGGTGATTTGCTGTCCCTGCCCAGTAGGGGACCCTCTCACAAGGGACCAGACAGCTTTGCTCGGGCAGCCATTCAGCCCCCCAGCTGAGCTCCCACAGGACTGACATGCTCCTTCCCTTCCAGCCCTAAGAGGCGGCTCTGAGCACCACCTCCCAGGGGGGAAAGCAGGCAGGCCTGAGGGTTGGGTTTACAGAGGTCGCATTGGTATCCCCATTGGCCAAGAGCCTCTCTATCTTGGTTGCTTGAGTGGTGGCAAAACTCACCAGTTCCTTGGCCTTCGCCTGTGAGACTGAGAGATGCTCACTGGCTTTGTGGTGTGAGGAGAAGGCAGCAAGTACGCACAGTTGAGTGGGACTGGGATGGCTTTGCCATGTGGATTTACTAACCACACTCTTAACACCTGCCTACCAGAAAGGCAGGATGAACCAAGGGCCTCAAAGAAAAGGGCCCCCAGGCCTCCGAACTTTGAGGCCTCAGCACTTTCTGCACCAATGTCCAACTCTTTGGAAAGAAACCAAATCACAAAAAAGGAGAAAGAAATCTGCCTCCTGTCCACCCTACCTCCCTTTCACCCCCATCCTGACCCCAAATGAGATCATCGCACCTTGACCTGGGAGGGCAGTGAGGGGAGGGAGTTGGCACCGGTGCCCAGTGCCATGTGACCTCTGCCCGGCTCTCCAGCTGAGGTACCACTTACACTTTGGCCCGGCAGCCTCGCCCAGCTCTGGCCTAGGCCAGGGAGGACCTTTCTGTTTGGCTTCTGAAACAGAAAGAATGATCCCAGAGTTTGAAAATGAAACTTGTTTGCACTTTCATTCACATGCACTTTGGTGGAGTTAGGTTTTTGTATTTGCTGTGTGTGTGCGCGCACGCGTGTTTGTGTGCATGTGTGCACACATGTGTGTGTTCTTTAAGAGAATCTTCTGGCTTAAGATAAAGTGACTCTTGACTCATGAGGGAGGAAAAAGTTACAAACAAAATGTGGTGTGCTTCATCCATCTATTGAAACAAATAAACTTGAACAACTGAACAATATGCACTCAGAATTTGTTCTATTTTCATGGTGAAATACCCAGAAAACAGAAAGAGAATATCAATAATACCCTGTCATTACTGCAGAGAATAAAGCATTCTCTCTGCTGGTAGGGGTCCTAACTAATCTGATTTTTATTCCCTTTTAAAGATAAGAAACAAAGAATAAAGATAAATGGGTATACTGTCTACATGGAGAAATATAAACAATGGGACCCTCGGAGAACAATGTGAAAAGGCCTGATCCTTGACAACCTGTGAATGGTAAGGGCAGAAAATTCAATAAAGACTTCAGTTTAAAAAAACAACATGAAACGTTCAGATGGGGAAATATCAAGCTGAACAGTTAGAATTTGTTAAGGTTCCCAGAGACTATGTGAGCAGATAAGAAAGTAGCAGAAATGCCACGTTCAATCACATCAACCCCTTTCTTGTCAATATCCTTAATTCCTTTGACCTGCTGCTCTTCCATACCACTTGGCTAGAAGAATGTCAGCCATGGAGCTGTCTTCTCCACACCTTGACCAGGAACTTAGCTGACTGAGCAGATTGGTGGCCACGCTTGACTGATAGTCCCTGGCTCTGGTGTAAACCCTCAGGGCTGCCCAGGAAGCAGCTGGGTTCCTGAGGTCGTTAGCTTTGACTTCTCTTTTACCTCCTACCCCATTGCCTTCCCTGTTATCTCAAGAGATGTCTTCTCCATCTCTGTCACAGAGAAAATAGAAGTCATCAAAGGAATACCCCCACCTTTCTGCCACCTCATGTGCCAGTCTCCTTCCACCTACATCCATCCTTCCTTTCTTAACTATCACAGTAGAAGAGTTTATTTTTCCACTTGTCAAAAACTAAATCCTCACCTAACCAGCATGGTTCAGTGGTTGAACATTGACCTATGAACCAGGGGGTCACAGGTTCAATTCCTGGTCAGAGCATATGCCAGGTTGTGGGCTCCATCCCCAGTGGAGGGCGTGCAGGAGGCGGCTGATCAATGATTATCTCTCATCATTAATGTTTCTTTCTCTCCCTCTCCTTTCAATCAATTTATGTATATATATATATATATATATATACATATATATATATATATATATATAAAATCAATAAAATATATATTAAAAAGCTAAATTTGAAACCAGCCATGGCTGCTATAAAAGGAAAAGAAACATTAAAAGACAAGAAAGGACTTTGGGAAATTTAAAATGTTATTGCAGAGATAAAATAATTGAACACAAGGTGAAAGATAAAGTTGAGAAGATTGCCCAGAATATAGGATGTTCCCCCACAATGTATACACACACTTTGAATAATTATAAAGGTAGTGTTTATTAAAATACATTTTATTTTCAAAATTGAGCTATCAGTTATTAAAGTGTGTATACACTTTTTGGGACACCCTGTATATAGCCAGGTTACAAACTTTTACCTCTTCTGCACCTTTCCTCAGAAAGCCATTGGAGGATGTGCTCCATCAAAATGAGAGATTAAGTAAAAAAAGAGGAATATCCCAGGAATACAAGGATAGTTCAACATATGAAAATAAATCTACTTTATGCACCACATTACTAGAATGAGAGGGGGAAAACACCTGATCATCTCAATTGATGCAGAAAAAGTCATTTGACAAAATCAACACCACTTCACAATAAAAACAGTCAGAAAACTAAGAACAGCTTATAAAAAAATAAACACAAAAACCCCATAGTTGACATTATATTCAATGGTAAAATACTGAAAGCTTTCTACCCAAGATCAGGAGCAAGACAAGGAAGCCCACCTTCATCTCTGCTATTCAGTATTGGACTGGAAGTTCTAGCCAGAGCAATTAGATAAGAAAAATAAATTAAAAGTGCCCACATTTGAAAGGAAGAAGTAACAACTATCTCTAGTCATAGATGACATGATTTTATAAATAAAGAATCCAAAAGAAAGCTGCTAGAACTAGTAAAAAAATTAAGTACAGTGGTAGGGTATAAGATCAACACAAAAAAATTACTTATGTTTCTATATACCTGCAACAAACAATCTAAAAAAGAGATTAAAAAAGCAATTCCACTTATAATAGCATCTATAAAAATAAAATACACTGGAATAAATTTAAACAAGGAGATGAAAAACATATACTGAAACCTATAAAACATTGCTGAAAGAAATGAAAGAAGACCTAAATAAATGGAGAGACACCCATGTTCACGGGTAGGAAGACTTAATATTGTTAAGATGTCAATACTACCCAAAGTGATCTACAGAGTCAATGCAAACCTTATCAAAATACCAATGGCTTTTTTTTGCAGGAATAGAAAAGCTGATCCTCAAATTTATGTGGAATTGCAAGGGATTTCCCAAAACCAAAACAATCTTGAAAAAGAACAAAGTTGGAGGACTCAATCTTCCTGATTTCAAAACTTATTACAAAGATAAAGTAATCAAATAGTCTGATACTGG